TCAGTGCCCTCTCTTGCTGTAGAACACACTAGCAATGCCCAGCCACCCCTGCAGGGTTTGCAGTGTGAACAGAAACAGATATTTCTCCCTTGCCCCAGCCTCCCTCTCCACATGATACTGAACTCCACTGTCCTTGGTGTGTTCCCTGCTGCCCCATCTACCAGACTCCTATGACTTGTGACCACCTCAAAGGCTGCTGTGCAGCCTTTCTCTGGCCACAGTCCCTGCCCAGGCTCACTCTTACAAGTGAGCTTGTAGCTTGGGCTGCTAGAAGCTGGTGGAGGCTCTGCAGTCACCAGCCCTGGCCTGGCCACAGGCTTGGGGCTGCTCTGATCCCAGGAACCAGTTGTGTGCATCCCACACTGCCTGGCTCCCCCAGGACAGATGCTGTCCACAAGGGATCACACATGAATCCTTCTTAGGTGCTACAGGGTGTTGGAAAGGTTGTTAATCTCAATCAAGAAATCATTAAATGCAAAGAGCTCCAGTGTGCTGTTCTGGGGGCTCCCAGCAAGGTGGTGTGTGAGTATCACCAGCCTCAGGTGGTCACCAGCCTCAGGTGGTCTCCAGCCCTGGTGGTGATCTAGCTGGATCAGATTGAATTGAGTATGTCGTGATACTGTGCTCTTGTTTGTTTCTCATGGAGAAGAGGAGAAGTAGCTGAGTCTGTGTCTTCTGGAAGATCCACTGAATTTTACTCCCAGTCAAGTAGGTGGATGCAGTTAGAGCTCTAAAGCTGAACCATATGCAAGGAGCCATGATAGTTCAGAGAAATGTGAGACCCTTTGCACAGCATCTGCATCTCCACTGAGCAGCACCTGAGCCATGTGGATGGAGCCAATTTTAAGGGCAGTGTTTGGGTAAACACTTCCAGCCTATACTTGTCCAGCAGATCAAGCCCCTGCATGCTGTAGCATTTAGGGTTTGATGCTTTAATCTCTTTTCTGTCTGAGTTAATCTCAGGTCATTAACTTTTATTTTCCTGCTGTTCTGGCCATGTGAATTCTACAGTTTATGGTACTAAAAAAAAAATATCCCCATGCAGTTGCTGAGTGCTCTGAGAGGCTGTGTGGCAGATTGTCTTGAACTGGAAATGCTCCAGAAGAGGAGCTTAACTGGGGCTTGTGCTCCAGCAGCCACTCCTGACAGATGAGAGGGATTGTAAAACATTGGTGAAATAGTCATTCCAACATTATGCTATTTTTTCCTGCGGTTTGGAAGAAATTTGCAGGTTAGATTGAAAATGGACAGTGCTTGTGATCTGCATTGCTGTTTTTGAGGTAGAGTAAAAGCTGCAGAGTGAAAGATGTCTTAATGTATTTAGCCCCTATTATTTTTTTTAATATTGTCTCAGCACATAGGAGGAATGTGGGTCTTTTCTCACCTTGTTTTTCCTCAGAGGAATGGTGGAAGCTATAGGTGTGCAAAAGGAGCACCCCTTGCCCTAGGTGAAGACTGCACACAGAACCTGAGTGCAGGCCCTTTGGGAAATCTCACATTTGATTTGTCTTCTTGAAAGATGGAGTTAATGGGTGTTGGTTTTTGACTGCAGCAAGGCTGAGCCCTTCAAGCAACAGGAGCTGTCATTCCAGCCCTAGTGAGACACCAGTCTGAGTAGCGATGTCTCATTCTCCAGCTCTGCATTTTAGCAAGAGATCTATTGCATGAATATAAATGCAGCTAGTGGGCCTTGTCCTGTGTTTCCACCCATCCCTTTCCCTGCCATCCCATCCTGTTGGGCCGCCACAGCAGACAGAGGGCACAACACGTGCTCTGTGGTGAGACAGGGACCACAAACCCACCTCTGATCTCTGATGCTGGCACTGAACACCTGACACCAGCAGCCTCCACTGATATCAGGTTCTGCTGTGAAGGGAAGAGGTGGATGCCCCAAAGCTACAGCAAAGACTCAGGTTTATGACCTTCTGGGAGTTTGTCACTGCTGGTGTTGTTGACCCAAATAAATTTTGACCTTTGCTTTCTCTAATGTTGGTTAGGCCTTACATTAGGTCAGTGAAATCAGAAGGTCTTACATCTGCAATTAATCTTCTTTGTGAAGAGGGCTAAGGACCGTGTCTGTAAGATTTCATGTCTATATGATTTGGAGCAGAGTGGGGCAGCCAGCAAAGAGCTGAGGTTCCTTCTTTCAGAGAAACAAGTAAATATGGAAAAGCCATTTTATCTTCTATGCTACGTTGATAAATTGCCCTTTTGTTCTTTCTCTCTTATACTTTTATTGAACTTGAAGACAAACCCCTCCCTTGGCAGGTAGAAAGAAGAAATTGCCAGCAGTACACATTGAAGAGATGCCTTTCAGTAGTGTAGCTGTACAAATAATAAGTTTTTCATTTCAGTGGCTGAAGGTAAAAATTGAAAATACTTTTTGGTTTGGATCACTCCCTAAAGGAGAATGTTTCTTTTCTTCTTTGATTTCTTTTCATAAGCGTAGCATGAGACATTCTGGTTTGAGATTATTTACTGCTTTTCATGACTAAAAAAAAATTAGAAAAAGGAAAAGAAAAAGCAAACTAGGTCACTTTCAAGCCAAAACTAGCACTTGAAAGAACAAGAAAAAAAAATCAGTTTTAAAAGATGGAGCCTTGCTGCTCTTCTCAGGACTCTTTTTCTTCTCTTTCAGCTTAAACTAATTACTTAGTTCACCCAAATTTGCCTGAAGTCTCAGCACCTCTTAATTGCAATTCAGGTGAATTTACTACATCAAAAAACTCCAGCCCAGCTCTCTCCGTGCGTGCAGTGACCTGTCCTGCTCATTGCTCACCAAACATCTACAGACAAGTACTTAATTCTACTCAATTAAGGTGTTGAGCAAGAAAATATGTGAAATGATTTCTTGCAGGTCTGGCCAGTTGAGGAAGCACCAGCACACTCCAGGTTCATGCTGGTGAGACCTGGCAGTGGGCTGAGGCAGGGGCTTGGGCTGTGCCATGCTGGGAGCCAGTGGGAGCCAAGTACCTCAGCGTTGGGCTGCTGCCCCTTCCTGCAGCCCTGTCAGTAGATGACAGCTGAGGAGTACCAGTGCTTGACAAACACAGTGGGATGGCCTCAGCCATGCTTTTCTTCCCTGTGGTGGCATGGCCCCATCCATCTCTTTCTTGGCCTCATTTCCTAAGGAGATGGTGCTGGTGTAATGGTGTCCATTGCTATCTGCCTATTCCTCCCAGGAGTGTCCTGAACTGGGGTTGTGACAGCATTAAATTACAAAAAATTCCTACAAATAATGGCAAAGAAAATCAGAGGCTGAGTAGTGATGACCAGCTGCTGGTGTGGTGGGTTTCATGGGACTCATCTCACTATGAAATCAGCTCTGTTGCTGCCATTTGGGGTCTGGGTTTGCTTCAGACAGTGCTAGGGAAAATCTTTGTCACCTCCTTTTCAGCGTCTTCCAACAGAGGGAAAAGCTTGTGGTTGTATCACAACACTGTTTTATGCTTCCTCTATAAATTAGAGGTAGCTGATACCGCAAGGATGATGATTCCCTTCCAAATCCATGTATTCCTGAAGGCCTAGGGATGCATTAAATGCCTGTATGTGCTACCCCACCAGGGATCATAGAACCATAGAATTGCTTGGTTTTGAGGGGACCTTAAAGATCATCTAGTTCCAACAGCTCTGCTGTGGGCAGTACGCACTAGACCAGGTTGCTCAATGCCCCATCCAGTCTGGTCTTGAGGACTTCCAGCTGGGCAACCTGTTCCAGTGCCTCGCCACCCTCACAGTAAAGAATTTCTTCCTAACATCTGATCTAAATCTTTTTATAAGCCACCATTATGTACTGGAATGTGTTATATGGTCTCCTTAGAGCCTTCTCTTCTTCAGGCTGAGCAGCCCCAGCTTTCTCAGCCTGTCTTCACTGGAGAGATGCTCCAGTCCTCTGAGCACCTTCAGGACCCTCCTTTTGACTCACTCCAACAGTTCTGTGTCCTTGTGCTGGGACCCCAGAGCTGATGCAGCCCTGCAGGTGGGGTCTCAGCAGAGCAGAGCAGAGCAGAGCAGAGCAGAGCAGAGCAGAGGGGCAGAATCCCCTCCCTGGCCCTGCTGCTCACGCTGCTCTGGATGCAGCCCAGGATGAGGTTGGCTTTCTGGGCTGTGAGCACACACCATTGGCTGGACAGCTCTTCATCCATGAAAACCTCAAGTCCTCCGCAGGGCTGCTGTCCATGAGTTGTTCTCAGTTGTTCTCAGAGTCTTGCTCATATCTGGCATTGCCCAGATGCACAGGTCCAAGGAGTCAAGGGAAGGAAAATGTCTCCATGCTGATTCCCAGGTGGAACAAACCTGTGAGTTGCACTGAATTCCTGATAGTCAGGAGAATAATTTAGTGGTGACACCAGAAAAGAACTTTTTAGGGTGAAGAGCTCCCATGTTAACTGCTCAATAATCCCCATTTTTCCCAGTGGCTCACAGCCACTGCTCTGGGGCTGGGGCAGCCGTGAGAGCCAAGTGGCCAGGGGTAGCATTGCCTTGGAATGTATATCTGACTGAAACTTCCAGTCTGCAACTCCTGTCCATGGAGGAGCTGGGATGTGGGAACAAGGGCCAGCAAGCCTCTCTGCCCACTCCCCTCACTTGCCAGGACCAGATGGCTGGGCATGTAAAGCCAAGACACACACTCCTGATGGATGCCTTTGTGAAACTTCAACCCACTCAGAGGTAAAACACCATCCCTGCAAGTATCATAGTGGATTAAGAATTTCTAAGTGTAGGTCAGACTGATAACAGAAATTTAAGAGGCCCAAGTCCTGGTGGCCTTTTGATGCAGTGGGAGGTTTGTTGATGTGATAAGTTGAGTAGAGTCAGCAGCTCCTTGGTCCAAGAGCTCCCTGTGAGCTATGTGGCTTTTTCCTCAATTTTTAAAAATTATTTTCTTTTTTTTCCTGAAATATTGACAAGATTTTCCTCTGCTGAGGTGAGCTTCTCAGCAGCTGGCTATGGTCTAGCAGCATGACAGATGCTCAGACTGTCTTTTGATTATTCCCCAGAGAGAGCAGCAGGAGGCATTGCAAGCAGATCTTTGATGCTGCGGATGAGAGATGGACCCTGGTGAAAACTGGAAGCTGGATGAAACAAACTGGTTGTCTCATGGTGGGATCCACCCCTTTTCCAATGTGAAAGGAGGTAGGATATGATTGCTGCCTCTTAATCCACCCAGTGAAAGTGCTGAGAGCCTTCCTAATGTTCTGCTGCCATTCACTGTGCTTGCAGTGGTCCCAAGGGTTTTGCTGTGCTATGTCCAGACACAGGCAGTACTCGGTGTGAAGGTGGGAGAGGTCAGATCCAAACTGTCACACTGACACAGCCACTTGGTCTGCAGCTTGTTTTCCTGCTTTGGAGTGGACTTAAAAAAACCCCCCATATATATATATATATATATATATATATGAAAAAGAAAAAAGGCCCAACACCCATCTTTTGGCCAGTTAATGTTCCACTTGTGCTAGATATAACTACCCCAACTTTCCATGAGTAGGACTCTGCAGATGACCATGGTTGGGAAGGAGTGACAGGAGAACTGACAAAATATTCTCTGCAGTCATATTTGTGTGGGACAATTTAGGTTGGCTGCAGGGATACATGCTGTCCTGGCAATGACAAGGGGGCTGCCCTAACTGGAGCTCCCTGTGCAAGGGCTGCTCAAGGCTTTGGCCCACCTTAGCCAGACACAAGACGTCCCATCTTAAGGCTAGGGTTCATTGCTAACTAGAAATTCCCTGTTTCAGGAAAGCGCTTGGTGCAGATGCAGTGAGGAGTAGCCAGCAGTCCTATTTCCTCTGTCAATTCATGTCTACCTAATTTCCAGTCAACTGCCCTTACTTGCTTTTTAATCCCCATTTGAACATTTGGCAGGAGCAGCCACAAGTGCTCCTTGCTTAGCTCCAGGTCATCTTTTTTACCAGAGGTCCCTGTCCCCTGGGCCAGCAGAAGCTGTCCCTCCCCGGGCAAAGTTCCTTCTTTGTCTGGGATGTGCTGTGCCCCAGACTAAAACCAAAACAAACCCACAGCCTTCCAGATGGCAGCACCTTGGGAACGGAAACACTTTGCTTTGGTAAAGCGCTCGCTTATCTCCATCTGTTTCCCTTGGCTTCCCGCTGATAGCCCAGATGCTGGGGGAAGGGAGAGGGACAAACCAAGATGTGGCATCGCCTCCTTTTCTGTGAGAGCTGAATTACATAAGTAGCTTTATGCTTTTGAACCCATAAGTAGATTTATGCTTTTGAGCCCTGGGCTCAACATCCCCAGCAAAGCACCACTGGGCAACATCCTTATGGTAGAACATCTGTGCCTTCTCCAGGTACCCAGCCCAGGCTGGCTCCAGGGGAACAGCACAGGAATGCTTGCTGCAGTCCACTCTTTTTCCCCATTAGAACAATCTCTGCTTCTATTGTTTCTTAAAAGTCCTTGTTCTGTGCATGGTCTGTATTAGTGCATTGGTTAAATGCCTGTAGACTTCAGGATTGCACTGTGCTTGTGTCTGTAAAGCAGAGGATGGCAGAATCACTGCCATCAAGAGCTCACAGAAATCCAAACCAGCTGAACAATTGAATGTGGCTATACATCGGCTTTTGGTTTTGTATGCAGTCCATTGCTATCCTAAACTCATGGCTCACAACCTTTTCTAACCATTGGGCCTAAGAGCATTTTATAACAGAAGGCAAGATTGCTTAGAAAGGGCACAGGGGATTGCTGTAGGGTATCATGGACCTGCCCAAATGTCCTCCTGGAGCCCCTAGGAATACAGGGATTCACAGACCCCAGATCAAAAGATTTTTAAGTCAAGCCCACTCACTGAAAAAAAAGTCATGAATCATAAAGGGGGAAAAAAACCAAAACCAAACAAACACAAAACCCCCCACCCTCTGCAATTTAATTTTTGTTTTTTTTTCATTTTCCTTGGGTTTTTCAATTTAACAGCATTTTTGACATTGCAAGAAACGTTTGAAAATAGCAAAATCCCCATTAACTATAAGGCACAAATGGAATTCAATGCTTGGTCACATATTCCTGTGTGGTTGTGGACTTTACTGGTGGTAAGTGATCTGTGTGTGTTGTGCTCTGCAGCTGGGAGCAGACAAGATTGGGTGGGCTCATTTATGGGATGCAAAATAAACCCCTACAAGTTGTTGGTGAGAGATGCCACCAGCTCAGGGATTTCCAGAGCCTGTGGTCTCACCTGTCACAGGCACTGAGTTACTGCAGTGCTGCTTTCAGATAACTCATAGGTTTGGTCAACCTTTGAATAATTCTTGCTCCTGCTGGTTAAATCTTCTCCAGCTGCTGATTTTGGAGGAGACTGTGGCACACAGGAAAGCTTTGCTGCAGGCAGGGTGCTCCTGGCCATGCCCTGAGCACTGGATAAATTGAAGAAAGAGAGTGAAGAGCTGTGGTAGGGACAAAAAGGGCAGCACTACCAGGGACCCCAGGGAGGGTACAGATAGAGCAGTGGAGCTTCTGCTCTTCAGGGTTCATCCTGACAAGCCTCAGTCTTGAGCTGGTTCTGAGGTTTTGCAGTAACAGCTGAATTAAAAGAAAATCCTCAGCATGCACATGAAAGCTGTCAGGGTGAACTGGAAGCAAGCTGAGCAGGGGCTTATCTGCAGTGTGATTGAAACAGCCTTGTCACCCCATCTGTCCTCATCTACCTCTCCAGCTGACTTCCCTAGCATTTGTTCTTCTTCCCTCAGACAATGAGCTCTCCGAAGGTGCCCCAGCCCTCTTTGCTCTGGATCAGCTGGGTAAGTCCATGCACAACACATTTTCCTCTGCCTACTTTTTTTAAATTTATTTTTTTAAATGTTGAGTAATTAGGAGATGACTTAAGCAACAAGGCAGCTGCTAAATGCTTTTAAATTTATCAGCACCAGTGCCTCCCTTCTGTGTTGTTTTTGAATGGTATCCATCAGAGGGATGGAATAGCTTGACACTAGATGTGTTTGATAGCTTTCTGTGTTAAATTGATGCAGGATTTTTTTCCCCCACGAGAAAAGGTGTTACCTCTCTGGTGCAGAGCACTATAGGATGCTGTTGTTTCCTGGCTGGGGGTTTGAGGCTTAGCCAGCAGCTGGTACTGGAGTTTCTGTGACTTTCTGGCACCTTGCAATATGATGAGGGATTTTTCTTCACCTGTGAGGCAGAAGTAGATATAAAAGCAAGAGAGAAGAGTAAGACACTTGGAAAGAAAACAACCTCAAATGAGCAATGGAAGCTGAAGGCTTCAGAGGCTGAATCCATGGGGAAGCCTCATCTGGCAGTGATCTCCCTTAATTCCAGGGCCAAGGTCAAAAGAGGTGTGTTTCTCAGGATGAGTTAGAGGTGTTCTAGATAAGGTGTGGTGAGGACCTGAGCTGCAGGATGGGAAGCTTCTGAAGGAGGGTTTCTGGCCATGCAGCACTGGAGGTCTGATATGCATGGAAAGGGGAAAAGCACAGAATCATGAAATGGGTAAGGCTGGAAGGGACAGGACCACAGTGGGGTCATCTGGTCCAACCTCCCTGCTCAAGTGCCATCAATTGCACAGAGTTGCATCCAGATAGTTCCAAAATATCTCCAGTGAGAGAGAACCCCCAATCTCTCTGGGCAGTCTCTTCCAGTGCTTGGTCACCCACACAGTAAAGAAACTTTTCCTCCTATTCAGGTGTCTGCTGCAGCTTGTCCTATTGCTCAGCTCCACTGAGAAGGGGCTGGCTCCATCCTCTTGACACCCTCCCTTCAGACACTCACAGACCTCAGGTCACCTCAGTCATCTCTTCACGAGGCTGAGCAGGTCCTCAGCCAATCCTTGTAAGAGAGATGCTCCAGTCCCTAAATCCTCTTTGTAGCCCTCTGCTGTATCTGCTCCAGGAGCTCCACGTCTCTGTACTGAGGAGCCCAGAACTGACCAGCTCCCACCCCTCCTGAGAAGAGCATTCTGGAAAGATGCATGCTGAGCAATAAGATGTGCTGGGACATATGCCAGTCTCAGGATTAGGTACCCTGCCTTGCTCTTTGTCAGCATGGTGGGACTGCCACGGCATGCTGCAATGTGCATCACCTTGGCAGGAGCAAGCACTGGCCCTTCCTCACAAGGAAAAGGCACCCCCCTCTTCATTTTCACGGCAAGAAATTCTCCACACTTGGAGGTACTCAAAAGCTCTCTAGACATGGACCTGGGAAGTAGGCTGTAGGTGGCCCTACTTGAGCAGGGGATTGGACCAGATGAACTCCAAATGTCCCTGCTAAACTCAATCTTCCTGTGATTCTGTGACTACCCTGCCCCTCCTGAAAGCCACCTTGACCCCACATGATCCACATGCACCCACTGGGTACTCACCACATATGGCACTGGTGGAAACTTGGGATAGGAGGGTAAAACTGCAGGAGTCCAGAGAGTGATTTTTATCAAGTATAACTATCTGCAATTTATATTTCTGCTGCTAGGAGACAGGTTCTTGAAAAAAAATTCCTAGAAATACAAAAATGCTTAAAAACTGTATGCCTCACTGATTCTAGAAAAGGTGGCACATCGAGTGGTTTTCCTCACTGGCAGTGAGGGTCACATTTTAAAGTAGTCCGTGTGAGTTCTCTCCACTTGGTGTCAGGATAGAGACTGCTCTGACATGCATTCACCCAGAGGAGTGTCTTAACAGGGAGTGGGAATAAAGCCAGGAGCCTTCCTTTGGCTGCCTCATTCATTACCTGATTGTGGTTAAAACGTGTCAAATAACTTTAAAATGCATTTTCTGTGACAGAACATAGACCAGCTCCTTTTATCCTCTTGATTTTCCTTTTCTTATTCCTTGAACAGAGTCTTTCCTCAGTGGCATGTGCCCATTTCTCCCAACCTTGGCAAACCCTCTAGATCTTAGTATTTCGTGACAAAGAAAAAGCCCCCTTTCCCAAATAACAAGTTGTGGTGCTTTTAGGAGGAACTGCTCAGACACCACTTTCCTTTGCCCAAGTGTTTAGACATCCCTCAGTCTGGAAAAGATTATCCAAACCCGTGCTTATATCACCTTACAATTCCACTCTGCTTTCCAAACATAGCACAATACATGATTACTCCATCCAAGGTAGACTAGACAGACGAGGGATATGAGATAGCAGAAGAAGTAATGGAAATATGATTTCTTCTCTTGCCTTCCTCCCAGCTGGTAAGTTTTCAGCTGGATCAGTCCCCTGGCCTAAGTCAGGCACAGCTGTCTGGTTTGCAGTGCCAGGTAAGACAGGCAATAAGACCAAGCACAGGTTGGAGAGGTAGAGGACAAGGCCATCCCAGCAGCACCTTGGTTTTATGCTGTGAAGTGATTGTGTAACCAAAGAATACCAGGTCAAAAATACAAAGCCCTGGTCAAACCAGCCACCTGACCAGCAGGAGTTATTAGTAGAGGAGCAGCAGATAAAGGAGTATTACAATAAGAACATGCTGAGACAAAACATCAGTATTGTAATAAAGCATCATCAGGAAAAAAATCACAGAAAGGCAGGTTTGAGCAGGACTGCAGGAAGACAGATACACCTCACTTCTGCCTGGAGGCAGGGATAGTGGCTCCTGCTCACACATCACCCTGTGTGCAGGACCAACTCATCCTAGCAGCCTTCCCAGGCAACTCACCCCCGTGCTCTGCTGCCCTGGAGTGGTTTCCTCCGTGTCTCATTAGATTTCCATAATTTAAGCCAAAGGCAGGCATAAACAGAAAAAAGGCCTTCTAAGGGTCAGACTGAGAGTTTCTTGCCCACTCTGCAGGGGCTGAAGGGGGCATCCAATGGAGGATCAGTGGAGTCTATCCCTTTTTTCTTGCTCATCATGTCTTTGACCTCTAGTCCTGTGTCCAGCTTTCTGTTGGCTTGTCCCAGCTTGCAAATGTAAAAAGCTGTCCTTGGATATTGTGTCATTTGTGGAAGTGCTGTTTGGGACCAGATTCATGAGAGGTTTTTTGCATCACATCATACAATGAGTAACTAATCTTTAAGAAAAGTTTTGACCAGACATGCATCCATCTTTTCATATTTTATTGTAGCCCGGGCGTTCCTATCCTGCGTATAGTGACACCATATGACACAGTACCTGAAGTCATACTTATACACCACTGCATACAGCATCTGCACCTTCTCATTCATCTGCCAGGTTTATCACCTCATTGCAGCAGGTTAGATGAGACTGACAGCTCTGTTCTTGCTGAATCTGGGCTGAATGTTTCTCATACTCTCCTTTTCTACATGTTTGCAAAAATTTTAGTGATTCCAAAGCTTCCAATGATGGAATTAACAATGAATGGGAAATCCCTTCCTAGCTCTTTTTACTCTCCTTGTCTTAAAGATTTGTGATCTGCTTTGCCCTGCCCAACCTTTGAAAACGTCTCTGTGGTCTTCTTCTGTGTAAGTCAGTGCATGGCTCACCTGTACCTTGTGCAGTAAGAACATTTCTGACATTCCTTGGAGAAGTACCTGGCAAAGGAGGCAAAAGTGACTGAGGGAGAGAGCAGCTTCCATGAAAGCAGGCTCTGAGTAAACTACAGCTGAATTAGGTGGAAAAGAGATGCTTGAAGGAAGGTACAGTAGCAGTACAAGAATTCTGAATGGCATAGAAGTAAATAATTGCAAGACAGACATGGGCATAGTGGATGTAGTCCAGCAAAGAGCCAAAAGGGGGATGAAGGGACTGTGGCACTTGTCCTGTGAGCAAAGGCTGAGAGAGCTGGGTTTCATCAATGTGTATAAATATGTATAGGAATGTTGTAAGGAGGTTGTAATCAGACTCTTTCAGTGGTGCCCTGTGCCAGGACCAGGGACAATGGGCACAAACAGAAACACAGGAGGTTCCCTCTGAACATCAGGAAACAGTTTTCTTCCATGACAGTCACCAAGCACTGGCACATATTTCTCAGGGAGGTTGTGGACTTTCCATCCTTGGAGTCATTCCAAAGCCACCTGGACATGGTCCTGGGAAACAGGCTCTAGGTGGTCCTGCCTGAGCAGGGTGGTTAGAGCAGATGACCTGCAGAGCCTCTTCTGACCTCAACCAGTCTGAGATTCTGTGAAAGAAGGAAAGGCTTAAAACAGCCCAAAGGAAGTACATCTTCACTCAGCACACAATTCCCTTGTGCAGCTTGCTGTCACAGAATGTTCAGGGTGCAAAAAGTATGAATGGGCTCAACAAGTGATTAGAAAACATCATGGGAGAAAGGTCTATGAAGGGCTCTCAAATTTGATGACGTAGCTAAACCTTCTGTCTCAGGAAGGGAAATGGGATCATGTACTGGAGCAAACAGCACTTTTAATGTTCTATGTATTTTCTTTGCAGTCATCTACTGGAGGGGACACTAGGAGCTCTCAAACTTTGCAATAACCAGTGTGGTCCTCCTTGTCTTAGGTCAACAGTGACTAACCAGAAGAAAAAAGAAAGAAAACAAACCACCCTTTCCTTTCTTCATCTCCTCTCTCACAGCTTTAGCTGCTGGATTTCAGCAGATATGAATCAGATGGTGACTGTTGTGTTCCTTTTGTTCTGTAAATGATTAAAACAGAACATTTCACACTTGCTTTGTGGCCCAGCAGAGAAATGCTACATTTTCGCCTTGGCAGATCCTGAGGTGGAATTTCTGGCCATGGAGAAAGTGAGATCAGGGAGAGAAAAACTATCCCAACATAGAGAGGAACATATGCAGACTGCTTTTCTGTCTCTCCCGTGCTTGGCATGTCTTCTCCCCATTTTCCATTTCCTCATCCTTCCTCTCTTTTCTACCTCCTTCCCACCCCACTGGTATTTTTTCTGCTTGCTGCTTAAAGATGATTTAATTGAATATCAGAAAAAAGGAAGCAGATGGAATAAAAAATGCGAGGTGAAAGCCCCCAGAGCAGAAAGGCCTGGGTAGAGTAATGAGAATGTGATGAAATGGAAAAATAAAGTGGGAGCGGGGGGTATGAACCTCACTCTGCCAAAATTGAGATGAATATGTATAGGAGATGCAATATATCAGTGGAAACCCCTAGGACCCGCGCCTCACATTTCCCGACAGCCGACCAGAGGAGGAATTAGCTGGCTGTGCTATTTATAAGTGCACCCTGGGCATGGTCAGCTGCTGGAGGAGGTTCCCCACAACAGCGGCTTGCAGGAAATACTGCTTTGGTGATACTGTCTGCCTGGGGAATAAACACGCCCAGAAACTAAATCCCATTGGATATAAAAGGGAAGGAAAGAAAAAGTCCTGGTCCCTGCCCTGTTTCTTCCCACTGCTTCATAACCATCCAGCTGTTTTTTCTTTCTTGTCCTGACCTCATCCCATACTGGAGCAAATCCAGGGAGGGAGTGCTCTGCTTAGCTGTCTTCTGCCAGAAACCAAAGAGGTCAAGTTATTAGAGAAAAATGAAAGCTCTTTGGCAGAACTGGAAAAACAGATGTGCAGAGATATTTCTGCTGCCTCCAAATACAATGCTGCCTATGAAATGTGTATCAGAGGCGATCTGATAAATGTACCCTGTTGTCGTGGTAGAAATCTTAACAGTGGCTAATTATTTAGCAGGACGGGTTCCTTTGGGGCTTCAGGTCTACTGGAGCTGAGTTTACTGGCTGCCAGGTTACAAGATTACTTGAAAACCTCTTGCAGATGTGCTTTAGAAAGTGGTGCTCCAATGCCACAAGAGGATCTGCCGCTGCCCAGTAGTTAGAAGTCTCTGCAGGGCAGGTGAAGCCTGTAGCTATCAAGATGAGAGAGGGTATTCTCCACCTGAGATATGGTAAGAACATCTTTTATGTCAAAGGCTTTGTGGCTTGTATTTACTAAATTTGCCTGGGTGGAAGTTTCTATGCAGTGTATTCATATTTCTTGATTCAGCTCTTGCAGGGCAGCTATTTGTGCCATCCCCAGAGGTGGTGTTAACGGGGCTGGACCCCTCACTCTGCCCATCAGCCACTGCTAAAAGCAGCAGAGACAGCAAGAAGTGGAATTGTGTGCAGGCATTTGGGGTTGCCTCAGTGTCAGGCGGAGCGGGACAATTATTTGTTTGCTTTCAGCATTTGGAATTTGTGGGATTACATGCATGGATGGCTGCAAATGTGACGAGCATCAATACCCGTGTGCGCTCGTGGTTTGGGATGGCTGCATCCCTGCTGCAGGGCCTCAGGGCTCCAGCCCCAGCTCTGTCAGCAGCAATTGCCCAGAGCTCCCCAGCCAGCAGGTGTTTGGGATGGTGCAGAGCTGAGTGATGCAGGGGGCTGCTAAGGACCAAGCTGGAAAAGCTTCTCCCTTCCCATGTAGCTCACCAAAATGCTTGGGATATCCATGAAAGGTGTTTGTTTTCCCTAGCAGGGTATAAGAGACATGAGATGTATGGATAATGCAGGTCTCCTGAGCCCATGGCTACCAGGGAGAAGCAGGAGAGAGGCATGAAAAAAGATGACACTGTCATATCCTGAAAAGAGATATCACTGTCATATCATATCTCCTGATCTTATAATTGGAATTCTGGTGGCACTTGGTCCTGGTTGAGCAGGTTAGAACCAAAAGGGGCGAAAAACGAACTCCTTTCCTGCCCCAAATTCCTTAGAATGACATCAAACAAACAAACAAACAAATACACAAAGAAATATTAAAATACCGGAGCTATTCCCAAATTGACCAAAAAATAGATTTTAATAAAATATATAAATAAACAAATTACATATGTAATTTATTAAAATATTGGAGCTGCAAAGGAGAGAAGCTTGGGTGGTGGTTGCCTTGCCCTCCTGAGCAGACACAGCTCCCCAGAGGTTATGAGATGTATCAAACCACAAGGGGTTAGAGAACTCCCTCTACAATCTGCCATCCTTTGTGGCCACTTACTGCTTTATCGAATCAAAACAGAATTGAACAGGAAAAGATATTTTGAAAATAATGTGGAAATACGCACCAGAAAATTAATAACATGAGAGAAAATTGAAACCATACTTTTACTTCAGCAGAAAAAAGGAGTCTTTTCCTTGGGAACATAACAGCATGGTTCACCAGGTCTTTGTAATTCTACTGAAAGACAAGATGGCAGATAATTTTTTTCTTGATATATTTGTTCTTTTAGCACCAAAATCACCACTGATCACTATGCAGCACTAGGTGAAAGGGGAGCACAAACCCTGGGGCCAGAATGAGAAACAAAAATAAGCCCTTGAACAGATTGGATCTGCTTGGCCAAGGGCAGTACAGCCAGATTGCTCCAGGCCCCCATTACGCAGACTGGGAAACAGAATAACCAAAATAGTGTGTCCCATTTTGCCCAACCAAATGATGCAGTTGGAACATGACAAAAAGTAGTGCTTCAATTGGCACTTTGAGCTGGACTCAGTGGACTCACTGGACAGCAGTGCCCTCATCCCACTTCATCTGCCACACTTAACAAGCAAGGGCAAAATTTCACCTTCATTTTACCACTGAGCTGGCTCATGGTTCACCTGTGCTTATAAGCAAAGCTAACCTCTCTGTGTGAGGTAGGAAAATCTGAAAAATCCAAGGCAAATTCCTCTTGGGGACGGAGGTGTCTAACTCTATTGTTAGAGTTCTCCATCGTTCTCCATGACTTTGCAGAGGATTTAGGCATTCAAAAACCTGAATTTGGGCTTAATCTTATCCCACATACTCAGGGCATCTGCAGATGACAAGGAATGGAACATCTATCTCTAATCAAGTATGGTACCCTAAGCCTGTAATTTTTCTCCTGAAGTGGTCAATGATGTGATGGTTCCCCTTGCCCCCCCACCTCAAAAGCAGCATATTTCAATTCACTGCTCCCCTGCTTGAGCACAACCCCAGCCTGTATTAGGCGACTTCATGGAGACAGGTAAAAGATGTTTCAAGGCTTCAGAGAGACATTGCAGCACCTGGCTGGCACCTCACCTTGCACACAGGCATGGAGGGAAGGGCACCTCTGAGGATGCCCAGCTCACATGGCAAACATCATTCTGGGGTAACATCTGTCATAGGAGATGCTGAGATGCACGAACTGAGGAACCTGATTTCACCACAGAATATTTTTTCCTTCTTTGCCTGTTCCCATATCCTATAGCTTCCCTCTGTCTTGCATCTGAGCAAAATCCAAACTCTCAGCAAAGCTGGGTTTTGTGATGCAAAAAAGCAATGCCTCAGGCTGCTGTGAACCACAGCACTCTCCCGGTGCCTGGAGCTGCTGGGAGTCCTCTCTGCATCCATCCAGTCTGTGGCCATGGCACTGGGCCAGCTCCTGTCTTGCTGTGCCCCTTTATGGGGCTGTGGTGACAGTGAGTGTTTTCTTCTTCAGCCTGTTGCTGCGTTTCTTTCTACCTGTCTCTATCCATTTGGCACAGTGTTGAGGAGGAAGAAGGCACCATCAGTCCCTGGGAGAAAGAAGTGCAAATACAATAGAAAATCCTGGCATCATTGGGCAGCTTGCTGGACTGAAAGAGGTTGAAGCACGGGGCAACCCAAGCAGTGTCCTGGCAGTGCCACTCATCCCAAAAGATGCCTACCCTACTGGGCAGTGCTGGGAATGGAGTGTGTTGGGACTACTGGACCCAGTCTGTGCCCACATCACGGCTGCAGGGATGGGAATGAAGTGCTGTGCAAACACCAGAGCAGCTCTTCTGCCATGTCCCCTCGGTCAAACCCTTGGCAGCAGGGCTGGAGTGGTCTGGGGAGATGCAGCAGTGGGTCACTCCCGCCCTAATGAACGCTCATCCCGTGGAGCTGCTGTGCCAAACCACAAAGACGTGTGATGGAGCCGGTGGGCAGCAGGGCAGGGGGCTGTGCTCAGGAATGCGGCGCTGAGTTTAGGAACGAAATTATATCCCCGGTCAATCCCCGACAGCCATCGACTCCCCCATGCTCAAGGAGACGAGGAGGATGCCCAGAGTTAATTCACGGGCTTGGGACCCCCACCAACTGTCCCGCAAGGCACCAGGGAGTCTGTGGCAGTCTCCAGGTCGGGATTTAGATCCCGAGCATCCCCAGACATGAGGCGGAGCAGCCGTGCTGCCACAGAGGCTCACCTCGGCCGCACCCCGGTGCCGTCAGTGGCTCCGGGTGGGGCTGCAACCCTCCAGCTTGGAGGGTCCCCCGAACGAGCCTCGCCCCAATCCCCGACAGGAGGGCCGAGAGGGGCGGGCAGGGGCCGCCCCGCGCCGGGAGGTGCCCGGACCGCTGTTGTCCCCGCCCCATCGGCTGTCCCCGCCCCATCGGCTGTCCCCGCCCCATCGCTGTCCCCGCCCCGGCCCGGCCCGCGGCGGCCGGCGGAGCGCGCCCGGCGGCGGCGGGGAGCGGCGCGGATGGCAGCGGTGCTGCCGGGGACGGCGGGGCGCGGAGCCGGAGGTAATGGCGGGCAAGGGAGACGGCGTCTGTGTGTCCCCGCACGGCTGCGTGTCCGTGCGTACATGTCCGCGCACACGTGTGTCTGTCTGTCTGTGCGTGGGGGGTGCGGGTGCCCGCGTCCACGTGTGTGCCGGGCAGCGCGGGGTG